CGCTCGCCAGCCTGTTCCCCAACCTCCCTTAGCTCAGGAGACAATCAGACGTATTGGGGAGTCAAGTCAAGCAGGAACTCGTTTATTAACAGGGAGCATCCCCTTTTTAAAGCAAAAGACTGCGTGGGAGGGGAGGAAATGGAACCAACCAATCACTGAGCGGCCATACCTTATCATGCACCTAAGCTTCCATGAGTTGTTTACACACTGAACCTAAATAAATCCGGCTCTACCCACTCAACTTCCTCTCAGGGCCTTCTTTGCTACCTGTGATCCCCACAGATTTCCCCACAGGGGATGGGAAGGTGGCTCAGTGGTAGAGCGCTTGCCTTGCATGCTCAAGGCCCTGGGTTCGATTCCTCAGCACCATATAAGCAAAGAAAGAAAAAAGCCGGAAGTGGCGCTCTGGCTCAAGTGGTAGAGCGCTAGCCTTGAGCTGAAGAGCTGAGGGACAGCGCCCAGGCCCAGAGTTCAGGCCCCACGACCGGACCAAAACAAACAAAAAAACCCCCAAAAAACAGATTTCCCCACAGTAACCAAAACTAGACAAAGAGGACCACACTGCAGAAAAAAAAGAACAAAAAAGTTTCTGTATGCACTCAAAAATAATCAGCAGAATGAAAGCATAACCATTGAGATGGGGAAGGAGAATTTAGAAACTACATATCTAATGAGGAATTAGTATCCAAAATATTAAGGAACTCATATAGCTCACCAGCAAAGCACAAACAACTTGATGACAGATAGATATTGTAAGTCAATATAAAAATCTGTCTAGCAGGTATATGAAAGGTGCAATCAACCCATGTGAGACTTCACCTAACACCTATCAGGAAGGCTATTAGCAAAAATGTTAGTTTCTAACAAATATTGAAAAAGATTCAAAGAAATACAGAAATTCCCACCCCCACCCCCACCCCCACTCCATGTGTACTGTTTGTAAGCCTTAAATTGGTATCTCCACTCTGGAAAACTGTGTGGCACTTCTTCCAAAATCTCTAAGTAGAACTCAGATCATGTCCCACAATCTCTCTTCTGTTGTGAATCCACAGAAAATGAAATCAGCACCCTAGGAATAGCTGCAGTCCTGTGCTTAACTACAATATTCACAATAGAATCAACATACTGTCTGTGTTGACAGATGTATTGCTAAAGCAAATGTCATGTGTATGTGTATGTATGTGGAATAATTTTGGATGTTAGAAAAAGAAGAAAATCCTACCCTTTGGGACAACATAGATGGGCCTAGAGGACCTATGCCAAATGAAATAAGCCAGGTATGGAGAGAAAGACAGATCCTGCGTGATCTCAAATATGTGAAATCTAAAAAAGTCAAAGTTATAAAAGCAGAGAATGGAATGGTGGAGTAGAAGAGATAGAGGCTGGGAGAAAGTGGATGGAAAGGTACGAATTTCCAGTTACAGGATAAATAAGTTTTTGAAATCAAATGTAGTCCACAGTGAGTTTATTAAAAGTATGCATTGTGTACTTAAAATTCACTATGGAGTAAATCTTAAGTGCTCTTATCCCACACACAATACTAGCTATGTGTGATGATGAATATGTTAATTAGCTTGATTGTGGCAATCATTTCACTGTGTATACGTATGTCAAAACATGACATTATACACCTGAAATATGTGTGGTATTTGTCAACTAGACTTCAACAAAGCTCTAAGGAAAGAATGCCTCCAAACCTATAGCATAAACTCATTTCATTATGTACTATCCAATGACAAGCATATTTGAGACAGTTGCAGGAATAAATAGAATTTTAAGTAGCATACAACACAGAGACTATTTACTACACTTTGAATCCCTTCTCTGGAGGAATAGTTAATGTTATTAGGATTTCTGATATCTGATCGCTGATTTTGCTTTCAATCATAGGTCCAACTCAAACAACACCTTAATAGATTGCCTCTTTTAGTTCCCAATAATCACTGCAGAAGGATGACTTAGGCGGAATTGAGTACTATGCCTTTTTTCCCCCAATCTGAATACTATGTGTGCCCATGTCTATCTCTCAGATGACTGGGTTCCTCAAAGGCAGATTTGGTTTCTAATTTATCATCATTTTCTCCAATGCTTAGTGCAGTGCTTGATACACAGAATGGATTCCATCAATGCTGGCTGAATTAAAATAAACTATTTTATTGGAATTATTCTAGGATGAGAACTAATATTTACTGGGGGACTTACTCAGTATCAGCCATGCTCAACATCTTGTCTCATTCTCACTCACAGAAATCTCAGAAAAGTAGGTAAGCTCCATCCTTATGGTGCAGAAGAGAATATATAAAGGCAGAGTGGTAACTGGTCAGGGATGAAGTAGGCCCATGTTTACTACTATACAACAACAGTACCGTACCTGCTTCCCTGTTCTGAAGACTAAATGGGTTATGCAGGAAATGCCCCAAACTGTGCTTTGGAACAGAATAAATAATATATGTAGCTTTGCTATCTGTCATATTACTTTGCTGTTTCTTAGAGTAGGTGATAAAAGAATATCTATTGATTTTTTCCCTCATGCCACACTTAGTACAAGTGTTATTGGTATTTTAAAAAAGAACAGTTAAAGCTTCACACCTTAACTTTCAGATGAGTTCTTGCTTGACATGCTTAGCATAACAACTAAATATTCCTTTAAGATTTGGTTTAGTAGGGCCCCGAAGGCCAGTAGGTCCTTGGCCAGTAGCTTGTAAGCAGAGACTATATGTCATGATTTTTTTTTTTCCAGCTTAAAGTTGGAAATAGCTGTGGCTTGGTGCCCCTGTTGGATTTCATGAGAATTTGTTCTATTTCCAGAGTGGGCTCTGTCCAACACTCAATGGTGGTGGAGTTTTATATCCTTTCACACTTGCATGACTTGGCTAACTCAGCCCCTTAAATTCCCTGCAAAGTTTGTAGTCACTACAGTGACCCTTGGAAAGAGAACAAAGTGGAAGGCAGGTGGAAGCCACACCTCTGACATGCAGGGCTTACAATGCATGTAAATGCCTCTGAAATTCAATGCATGGAGAACCTGCCCATTTTGGCAGTCAGTGAACAGTTGAGCCTTTGCTCCATCACCCAAGGCATGACAATCTGTCCAGCCCACTGAAGTTAAATACCTTATTTCCCTCCATTTCAGCCATGCTTTCTCAGATTGCTCCATGGCCTCTTTGGGTACTGAGATTCCAGGAATCTTTACAGATAAAGGAAGTGAAATATTTCATTTGTCTTAATCTGGCTAGCCAGAACTTCCTACATGAAGTGTAGAACAGTCCTTTCTGGTACCTCATATTACTTTTAGAACACTGGAAGAGTTGGAGAGCTTTGAGCTGGTTTCCCTGGGTCCTGACCATTAGATCTGCTCCTGGTGGTCCCAGAGGAGTAGAATCAGGGATGGGAAGTCCCTTCCACCTGTGAGAAATTTCCTGTGGTCTACTTTTTCTCCTAAGACTGCATTCTGCCAAGGAACTCACACATTTTTCTTGTCTCCATGTAAATTGCTATCTTTTCAGGAGGTGCCTGACAGACAAGTTTTCCGGGGTCTCCATTTGTACAGAAGCTGTTATTAAGGAATAAGTTTAATGGGTCGTGAATTTTGTGGGGAAAGGGAGGATCTCTTCATGACTTTGTATACACCAGCCGTGGACCTATTGACTAGACAAAGAGTGCATTAGGCTAAATATTTTTAGCCCATTGACTCTGAAGGTAATAACCCTAAATGCTTCATTACATTTTCATGGGTGAGTGACAGATGCTAACCAGGAAAAAAATAAATAAATCTCAAAACAAGTCTACCACATTAGCTTTATTATTACACAGTTGGATACACCGGACAGGAGTGTGGCCCTTAAAACGAATTGCAATAAAGTTTTTAATAAACTATCTCCTCTTTCGTCTTCCTGCACTGGCTCCAAGGGGTAGCCTTTGTTTGTTTGTGTCTCTACCTCTTCTCACCTGGCATTGGAGCCTCTGGAGACCTAGATATCACAACAGGCAATGAATGGGTAAAAGACCTTTCAGACGGAAACGGTATTTTCAGCGTTTTGGCATTCCTCCTAGGATCATGGTGAGCTGGAGTCTGAGTAGTAGAAATAAATAGCCTGTGTGTATTCTGAAGACTTCTGCGCAGGTTCTTGATTTGCAGATCGCCTACCGTAAGCGTTAAGAACGGCGTGGGTGTGGGCACAGGAAAGTAGGGGAAGTTGGTTGTCTGGGGCCTCCCTTGGGCTCATGTAAATGTGACAGGTGCAAACCATCTCCCTTCCAGGTGCCCAAACGTGTAGCCCGGGACAGAAACCTCAGCACTGTAATAAGAATCACCCATCCACCATTGATTGGCTGCTAGGACAGGGCGCCCCCACTAGTTAGGGGACGGAGGGCCGGGGAGGGGGGCGGGGGGAGAGAAGACCTCTCGGACCACCCTTCCCGTCTGGATTCCACCCCTCCTGGCGTTTTCGGTAATGCGTATGTTTAGACCCTAAAGGAAATCAAGAGAGGCCTGGCGGGGGCTGGTGACGGCGCAAACACTGGATACTCTGTGATCCCCTCCTTTCTCTCTCCACCACCACCATTCCCCCCACCCCTCCTCCCTGCCCGCGCAGCTGGGGCGGGGAGCCCCAGCTCTCCGCTCGGGTCTCCACGCTGGGATAGGGGCTCCAGAGGCGCGATTGCGAGCCCAGGCGCCCCCCGCCTCGCTCGCTCGCTGCCTCGCCTCTCCCTCCCCCCTCGTCGCCACCGCGACTCCGCTTAAGCTGCGGGGAGCGCGCGCTCAGGCTGCGCTTCGGAGCGCCCCGGCGGGAGCGGGAGCCCAGAGGCCGCGGGGCGTTCAGGGGGCGCGCTGCGGACGGGCCAGGCGGCGGTGGCAGTCCCCGGGAGGCTGGCAGGTGAGCAGCGCCGCGGGGGCGCGGGGACCGGCGTCGGGCCGGGCGGGGCGGGGCGGGGGCCGGCATTGGAGGCGGGTCCTCGTGGGGGGCGGTCTCCTCCTCCTCCTCCCCCACCCACCCTCAGCTCTGACGCGGGCCCCGAGGCTCCGGGGGGGCGGGGGCGGGGGAGGATGGACCCTGCTCGGCGCTCGCCCGGGCTTCCCCCGGCTGCAGAGCGCGCCTGAGTGCCGCCGTCCGCCGGGCATGGGGAGCCGCTTCCTGGGCGGCTGCGGCAGCGGAGGAGGAGGATGCTCGGGGCGAGCGGAGGTGAGGAGCCGCTGTTGGGGACACGCAGGGGTGAGGAGGGGCGGAGCTCAGCTCGGACAGGTGCCCCCCGCGGGGTCGTGGCGCCCGGCGAGCCCGGGGGCGGCGGAGCAAGGGTTTGGGGGTCTCCGGGGCGCGCCTCTCGGGAGTTTTGGCCAAAGACGCTGCGGAGTGGCGACTGCTGCGCTTTTCCGTCCTCTCCCTCCACTTGGCGGGGAGAAAGGGGCGACCTCTGCCTCTCTCTTAAATGCCCCCCACGCTCATATCCCCCACACCCACTTCAGACTTGTCCACCCGAGACACTGTTGTCTCTCTCTGGGAGCCCCGGTGCCCCCCTCCATCCTGCGGTCTGCGCTTTAGCCATCTCGGGGGCTAGAACCTACAGCCACCTGCTCCCCAAATCACCGCCCTGCCTTGCTAGTGGCATCAGGGACCCGAACCGGGTTCCTCACTTGCATACTTCCCATCTTTCATCCCCCCCGCCCCCTCCCCAAACCGGATCGTCCCAGGCACCCCAGCCCTAGCGCTGGCGCCATCGGAGTTGGATCTCGGGTTTCTCCGGACCACAAGTCCTTCTTTGGGTCCTCCATCCCCTCTGTCTTTCTCTCTTGGCTGCCGGTTTTCCCCTATTCCATCCTGGGGCTGGGGGTGGGAGCCCCCGTTGCTTCCCCCCACCGCATCCTTCTTTCTGCGTACTGAAAGCAACGCCGTGCCTCGGGGCGGAGAGCCCAGGGTTTTCCTACTGGGAAACTTTAAGTCCCGGGGGTTCGGCCCGTCACGGGGCCCTGGAAGCGAATCTCAACAGCCAGGGGAACCCAAGAATCAGGAGCCCGTCCTGGGGTGTGGGGGGAGCGGTGCGGGGGTAGGGGTGGTGGGGTGGTGGGCACGTTGGGTCGTGGCGCCGGACAAGGGTCATCGAGTGAATGTACAAAGTAAATTGCTAAAGCCACGGCGTTGCTCGGCTGCGCACCCCTCCCCGCCGTGGGAGGGGAGGGAGGGTCTCTTTTCTCTGCACTTTTTTTCTCTCTTTTTTTGTTTTATTTGGTAGAGCGGGCGCGGGTGTGTGTGTGTGGCGGGGGGGGGGGGGGGACGGGACACGAGAGAAAGCTTCCTGGCGAGCCCGTGCCACAGGCTCGCTGTCCGGACTCGCCAGCCTGCGCGCGTACGTTCCACTCCGTCAACTATCCCCAGCCCCCAAAGGCGTCACACAAGTCCTCATTGTTGTGGGGGGGGGGGGAGAGTGGTCTGCCGGGGCACTTCCGCCTGCGTGGGGTGGGAGTCTGGAGGAATGGATGGTGGGGGGCGGGGGGAGCCCAGGGCGTTTGGCGACCGCCAGGCGCTTAGTGGCGGCTGGCAGAGTGGAGAGCGCCCCGGCGCGGGCATCCGTGCGCTCCGAAGTGTGTCGCAGAGACGGTGTGCGTGCCCGCACCGTGGGTCGGTGTCGGCAGGAGCGTTTGCACGTCGGCGGCCGCCTCGTGTTTGGATCGGTTAGCTCGAGGGGCGAGTCCAGAGTGCCTTTTCTCTGCCCCCCAGGAGCTGATCGCCCTAGGCAGATAGATGCTCGCCCGGCCTCTCCTTGGTAGCCCGCAGGGACCTGAGTGAGCAGCCTCACAGTACTTTTCCTCCCTCTCTTCCGCTCCCCTCCTGCTGCTGGCCCCTTCCACGCACTTTTACAATGTTGATGGTTTTGAATAAAGGCCTTATGGGGGTTCCGCCGACTCTTCCCAACACTTCGCATGTTTGCCAGTAATCATATAAATTAAAGGTGGCTTACGTCTAGAACCCCCTAATTATCCGATTCACGTTTGTACATTTATGTGCCAATTATAGGTCTTCGGGAAATCCATAAAATTATAAACCATCCCCACCCCCTGAATTAGCACCCATTGTTTCATTATCTCAATGATGAGTGATTCTGGATGAAACTCTGTACCGGCGAGACCATAGCTGGAGTAGGAGAGATTAGAATGGAGTCGGGAAACAGCACTTCCCCTCCCCATCTCTTTCCTGTCCTGAGCGGGCTTGGTGACACTTCTGGAAACTGAAAGGGATCAAAGATTTTCTTGATTTCCCATTGAGAAGGGCGACCTAATCAAAGCTGTATAAAAGTCAACTTCTAAGCAATCAGAAATTGTCTGCTGATGTCCTTGATTGAAACCCTCGCAATTCAAATGGAGTATTGAAGAACTCACAGAAATGGCTTTTGAAGCACTATTGTTCTTTTCCATACACAGAAGCTCTCTGAAAGGTTTAGGAAGTTCAAAATACGGTGGTTTGAAAAGACTGACTTTGTAACTATTTGGCAAAGCCTGCAGGGGTGAAAGAGGAGGCTGTGGAGACGTGTTGTTACTATATTCTTGGGAACAGTGTAGCTCTCAAGTCCGGATTTGGTTCTACACATCAATTTGGCAATTACATCTCTTCCTAAAAGCGGATTTGGAAGATGATTTTTAGTAGGGATTTTCTTTTTAATGGTTTGCTTAGGCATATCTGAAACATTTAATCATGCTCATTGTATTCAACAATAAAATCTGAATAAAAATTACTGTTGATGAAGCTCCCTTCACAAATTGTTTCACAGTATGCCTCATTTGCAAGACACACCATTGTGTAAGGCTGTGGGGAAGAGATTGTATCATTTCATGTTCATTTTCTCCTCCCTGAGCCAGAGAGGAAGATGTTCTTTGCTTCTTTGCCTTCCAAAGTCATTTTTCTTAAATGGGTACAGTTTTGGCTTGGTGAATGGCCATACCCATCTAAAAACCGGGTTTGGTTGATTCCTGGTACTTGGAGTCAGCCTGTAGGCAGAGGCAGCATTTCATTTTGTTAATCTACTCAATACAAACATATTGTTCTTACTATTTAATACTTCTTTCAAACTGATAAAGCAAACAATGCCAAAACAATCACAGTTTGTACCTTTGAGATGGCACTTTTTCTTGTGTGTGCAGATCCTGGGGCTTGAACTCAGTGCCTGGAAGCTGTCCCTGAGCTGTTTTCCTAAAGACTGATGCCACTTGAGGCACCGCTCCACTTCTAGCTTTTTGATGACCATGCACAGTTTTGTGTGCTTTCCTGCCCCTAGGGCTTCAAAGAGAGACTCTCAGATCTCAGCCTCCTGAGTAGCTAGGATTACAAGCATGAGCCACACCAGTGCCAGACTTAGATGGCACTTTTAAAAACAGCACACATTAAGGAGTGCTATCAGGAACTTTTTTTTTACTTTTTTATTTTTTTTATTGTGAAAATACTGTACAGAGGGGTTACAATTACATGGGCAAGATAATGAGTACATTTCTTATCAAGCATTGTAGCCTCCTCCTTTGTATCAGGAACTTTTAAATGTTATTTTGGACTTTCAAAATTGGACCTGATTCTGGAATCGTTTAATAGTTTTGTTTTTTGTTTTTTTAAAAAGGAAGCTTGGTAGTGAAGCAATTATGAATCTTTCACTTCTTAGAACCTCAATTTTATCATCTGCAAAACAGGGACAATTTTTCCTACCTTATGAATCTTTGAGCAGTTTTATAGGGAAAAATTCTCTCATTGACTTCTGTCTATAGCAGGATGTCAAAAGAATGGTAATTTTTAGTAGTAGACAGCATGAAATTCTGCTAAGGAAAGAAGATGACATTTAAAATTAGAAGGCCAGAACTGAATCCAACTACTACCTGTCTTTGTGATGTTTGGCAAGTCACCTCTTATATTCATAAAAATAAGAATAACCTTTATAGAGTACTTAGTATTAGCCAGGTTCCCTTCTAAGTACTTTGCATACATTAACTTACTTAATCTTTAAATAACCCTAGAAGTAAAGGCTTGCATTCTTTTTCTTGTTTAATAGATAAAGAAACTAGGGCATCAAGCGATTTGGCAACTAGCCCAAGATTACCTAGGAAATAAAAGGGTGAAAGCAGAATTTAAACCCACCCGTTTGAGTCCCAAGTTCTTTTACCCCTAACTGTATGCTATTCTGCTTTTAAGTGTGTGTGTGTGTGTGTGGGGGGGGGGTGATCTCCCAAAGTGGTTTTAAAATTGAATGGGGAATAATGAAAAAACAAGACATCCTGCAAAAGCAAGCTACAGAATCCCCCCCCCCATTTTATATGCTATCAGCACTCAATGGTGTTGCTTTATTGATCACAAGGTCTTGAGCTGATGGTAGGCATTTTGAACACTTGTGACTCTGTGACAGCTTCTAACAGGTATTGGTTGATATTGGTTCACATCTATCTGTGAAAATATTTATTAATTAGTTAATTAATTAGTAAATAATTGATGAGGCAATTAATTAAGAATGCAGAGATTTCATTAGTGCTGTTATCAGTTACAAGCTGCAGTAAGCAGAAATGCTCCAAATACAGATAGCATAGCAAGTGGTAAGAAGTCTGTTGTAGGCCAAGTATAAAAAGTATATAAAAAAAAAAAGAAGTCTGGACTTGGGCATTTAATTGCCTGGCTTCAGCCTTCAGCCTTCAGCTCCTGAGTTCTCTGTGCTTTGATTTTCTTTAAAATAAATATTAGTACTGCCAAGTGCTGGTGGGTCACACCTGTAATCCTAGCTACTCAGTAGGCTGAGATGGAGGATTATAGTTCAAAGCCAGCCCGTGTAGGAAAGTCTCTGAGACCCCAGTCTTCAATTAATGAGCAAAATAATGGAAGTGGAACTGTGACTCATGTGGTAGAATGCTAGTCCCAAACATAAAAACTAGGCCTTAGTTCAAGACCCAGTACCAACACCCACACCCACACACACACATACACAATAACTGTACCTATCTCAAAAAATAGTTCTGAAAATGACAGGAATTAACACTAGGTGCTTAGACCAATAGCTGCTATGAAATATACAGACTTGTTAGCCATCAGAATTATACTAAAAATGAAATAAAAGTCCTTCCCCTTGGCAATAAAGGGCACAACAACGTTTGTGTGTTTGTCAAATTAGGTATATTTTACATTTTTCGCATTTTCTTTTGCGCTGTTTTTTAAGAACATTTTCT